GGTACTTGGGAGGCTGAGGCAGGAGGAGAGCCTGAGCCCAGGAGTTTGAGGCTGCAGTGAGCTTTGATAGCACCACTGCATTGCAGCCTGGGCAACAAACAGATTGAAATCTTATCTTAAGAAGAAAGGACGGAAGGAAGGAAGGACGGAAGGAAGGAAGGGAAGAGAGAAAGAAAGAAAGAAAAGAAGAAAAATGAATGCGTTAGCAAATGTAGCAAATGGAGCCCTGGTCTGGTTATGAGTCGCCCTACACAGGAGCTCCAATGGAGAGCAATGAAACCTCTTTTGACTATGGTTTCATTATTATTGCATTTCAGTCTACTATGTAAATGAATTTGAAAGCCAAGACCAAATCTTGAAAAATGAGTTCCTGTTCATGTTTTCCATCAACCTGAAAGTGTATGTCAGTATACTCACACTGACTGCTGACGTATAGCGCAATGGCCTGTCTAGAAATTTTGCACCTTATGCTACTTTGACAGTTACAAAATAAACAGATTCCAAGCCACCTGTGGTGGTAAGGGCGACTTAAATAGTATTGAATGTCCAGGAAAGAAAAGAAGTGGAAGAGGGCTGCTTTCTTAACTCTTAAGTGAATTTATTTCCTTTCGTCTTTTACACTTTGCTCAAGGAGGCGAGAGCTAACTGAAAAATCAACTCCAGGCACGATTTCACTTTTATTCAATCTAAATGGTTCACCTGAGAAGATATTGTATGTGGATGCAGTGTTTTTTGAAACTTCATAGTTCCCTATGCTACCGCGCAAGGTTACATGAGGTTTAAGCTAGCCACCTTGTATGGGAAGATAAGTATGTGCAGTTCTACTTTCTGCTGCAAAGTTGCTCACGCTCTGGTAGGGGAGGTTGTTTCAGTACAAGTGGGATGGTCTGGGTGAAGTACACACAAAGTCCTTCGGGAAGAAGCAGGACCTGTTGAGATGGTAGGAGTGCAGTACCACCTGTTCCTTCCAGGATGGCTCTGGGATTCCTAACCTTTGCTAGCACAGAGAGCGTGGTTGTCTACTGCGTCTCGCTTTTAATGTTAAAGTATTTCGAAGGCACAATCTCTTGGGAGATTTAAGTGGGCCATGTGAATTGGCTTTAGGTGTCCCAGGTGTTTCATGACAGAGTTTTGAGCACAAGGCCTTGTCTTAGTTACCTTTGTCTCAGTTACTCTGAGCTTGGCCCTGTACAGGTACATAGACAGCGCTCATTAAATGTGTGTTGACTTGAGTCGCACACAGGGATGGAAAGGAGACGATTCAGACACACTGTTTTTGACTCTTGTTGGTCAGGCTGCACCTCTGCCTCTCAGAATCAGAGCAGGTGGAACACTACCTCCTCTTTTCACACCTGGACTCCATGGGGCTTGTGAGGGCTTTCTTCACTTGAGACCCTTACAGCCCACACTGGGGACAGCCTACACGCAGCCCTCCCAGACGGACAATGAGTGCATTTCAGCTCAGGTTTCCCCTTTTCTCCCCTCGAGGTAAACCAGCCAGAACTTGCAATGGACACGGTCTAGAACTATTTCACCTGTCGCCGGGAACATTGGCTAAGTTCACCCCAGACAAATCAGTGAAGAGGCCTCTTTTGCCTTTGAAGAAGTTAAGGGCGGCACTGTAGTCTTAACTTCTTCCTGAAATCAGCACTTCTTCGCTCGTCCACCCGTCCCTTCTTTGCAGAGAACTGACCAGAACCTGGCAGCCTTGGGGCAAGAATTTGGCGGCTAATTGACACAAAGAAAGTTTGTGTGCCGCTCCCAATCGTTCTCCCATCCTGCCCTCTCTCAGTCAGGACTGAGAATCAAATGGATGAATGACACGTTTTTCAAAAACTCATCCAAGACTTGTAAAACTGTCAACAACTCAGCAATACGTTCTGTAACTTTGACCTTCGATGTCAAAGTTAGCGCTGACCGCTAGATCGCGCTGTCGGACAAGAAATCTGAGGGCCCCG